TTTTGAGAATGTTTGCTGCTCTTTGCTTTCCTACAAAACCACTGTACCTGTACTGTAATGCACCTGAGCAAATGGCAGAAATTATCCCTAAATATAGTGATAAGAGACCTGCCGCGTAGCAGTATTACAACGTTCGTGTAAAGCAATTAATACCTAAATATCACTAAATGTGGATAAAACCTACACATAACTGTAGGTTTGGTTGGGAACAACTTTATGTACTTACAAAGCACTGAAACACTTTTGTAAACTTTTTATTTGATTTTTCAATTTGTATTCGGAGCAGTTTCATCATTTTCATTGAGATGGTGTACATACATATATATATATATATATATATATATATATATATATATATAGAGATTATATTCTATATGTATATCTTAGAGGTGTTGCCACGGTTCGTCTGGATTTAGTCTGTCTCAGTTTGTTCTGTTTCTTCATGTCATTCCAGTGATACACCCCAAAACAGCTCTTATATATATATGAAGAGTTCATTTGCAAAAACCGATAACTCCATTTTTTTTTTCTTCCAGAAATCACGTTTTTTATTGCGCATTCCAAGTAATATCAATCAAACTGCAGTTGGGTTGTTTTGATTAAGTAATAATAACTTAAATACAGGTAATCTACAAAATTAAAGTTCATTGAAAGTATGTTTTATTTTACATATTAAAAGTTTGTTTTATAGCAAAAGCAGATAACTCCACATCTCATGTTTTAGATGTTTGCAAGCTTCCGTGAAAACGTTTCAGCTTTTATTTTCCTTTTTCGCCTGAAAATATCACAGGTTCATCAAGTTTGTCGAAATGATCCTCGATCACTTTTAGTCAGCTTTGACGAAACTCCTCTCAGCTAGCACGTCTTTTCAAAGTGAAAGTAGCCTTGTCACCTGACCTGAATACAGCGCGCTGATTCGTTAAAATGGACTTATCAGCTTCTGTTCAAAAACAACAAGGGCGCTTGTCGGCTTCTGCAGTGAAACGTGAACTCACGACGCCTTGAAAGTGGACAAAATCGGCTTTTTGACAAAACGTGTTTAGGGTTCAGATCGCGCTATTTGTGGAGAATAATGCACGGCAATCAGCTCTCTTTTTTTTTTTTTTTTTTTAA